AAAGGGTGTCAGCCAAACACTCTGTGTCTGGGGGAGGTTGTTAAGTTCCCCGGCCTGGCTTTGGGGAACATCCTCAGAACCATGACGAATGCAATCACCGTGCACTGCACACCCGGGCTAGTAAAGAAATAAAAAGGCGGACCTGACTCATTTGCAAGCCCTAGCACCCTCGCAGAGCCCAGCAGCTCGGGAGAAGCGACATCTATCCTGTCACACACAGCAGGGCCCCTTGTTAACACCTGCAAAGGTGGACTGTGCTGGGTCATGATGCTCGGTTCTGGACCAGGGACGGATGACGTTTGGAGAGCGTCCAACTGCTGGCCGAGGCAGGCGGGCCCGGGTACCCCGTGTGAACACCTGCGCTTCTGTCCCTAAATCGACCCTTCTGTAGCTGCTGATTAGCCCAGAAAGTGAGAAAACCGGTGCTCGGCTCAGTTCCTCCCCAGGCCCGACGAGCCCTAGTGAAGACCCCAGCGGGGTCAGGGCACGCAGCTGGGGCCCTTAAGGAGAGGGTATGAGCGGAGAAGGCCGGCGCCACCGCACCCAGGCTGGAACCCAGTCCTCACCACAGGAGGCTACATGTTGGATTTTTAAAACAAGAACTCTCTAGCTTTAACAGCTTATGGTCACTGTCTCCTGGGAGTCACTTCAGTGACTGCACTCCACTGGAGTTGCTTCCACTCCAGTAAGGGCTGGGCGGGTGCAGCTGCGAATCTACACCGCTGTCTTTCAGGGGGCTGCTTGCTCGGCTCCAGCTGGGTGCGGGGCCGCAGGCCGGGCTGGCTTCTAGCCCAGGCCGCAGCTGAGAGCGAGAGTCCCCAGGTGCCGGTGGAGCCCGTGGGGACCGCACGCTTCCCAGATCTCTGCCCAACAGGCCGCAGCCTCTCCAGACGTGCAGTTCATGGGCAGAGGAGGAAAAGCTCCACCTGGCCCCGGCCAGGCCATCGCCCACTGTCCTAACTTGGGATCTACTTCGAGTGAGCAAAGCTGCGGGCAGAAGGGCGGAAGGCTGGGCCCTGCTCCCGGACTGTCTCCAGCAAGGCCCCCGGCAAGCCGGCGCGCCCTGGGAGCCCAGCGAAGCCCCGCCCCGGGCCGGC